GAGCAGAAGAACACTAATACAAGGCAGGATTAAATACACGTAGTGCCTCTCTGCAATCAGAAATGGTATTACGTGAAGATTAGGTAAAGAACAGAAAAAAGAAAGTGCAGTCAGTAGCAGCAACAATCCAGAGCCAATCAACAAGCACTTGAGTCCAAATTTACCTAAAGGAGGCGGCATTGAAGTCGTAATGAGAGCCATTGCTAGAGTCGAGTCAGTCGACTGAATCTAGGCGGGGTTTTAACTACCCACACAGCACGCCTCTATAGAACACTGCATGGTGACATGATCATGGATCACTCCTTTAAAGAGACAAATTGGAGACTCGTGGAGACCCCACAAAAGACTTCACTCCAGCACTCTAATCATCTTGCTAAAATGTAAGTAGAATTATCAATAATATATTGTGTTAACTGTTAAGCCTAGAGCAAAAAACTTAGCAAATACAGACAGTTTGCAACCGTGTTTGCAACAGTGGTTTTGAATTTTTTTAATTAATTAATTTTTTTTAAGTAAAATAATACTTTATTCGAAAACGAAAAATAGGGCCAGATTTATATAAGATAGATGAATAAGTTAGGATAGGTTAGGTAAGGAAAAATAGAAAAGTTAGACATATTAGAAAATAGGCATTGATAGAGAAGAGGGGGAGAACCACTAGGATACGCTCCCTTCAGCAATGGCGACTGAGATAGATGAGAAGTCTATTCTAGGAATTCTCTGCCGAGAACCCCTGAGTAACATGATGGTAGAATTAATTGAGATTTTCCAAGTAGATCTATATATGTAATAGACTAGGATTTAGAGGTGGGTGATACCAAAATTTTTGATCGATACCAATACAAAGTAGTCTGAGTATCAGTATCAATGATATCCAGTAATGAATGAGTAGTCTGCTAAAAGTTATGGTAGAAGTGGAATATTTCAATGCCTTTATCATTTAATTTTTATTTTTACATATTATAAATTTTACAGTTTACACATGTGCTACTATAAAGCAATTAACTGGTTCTTGATTTTACTTATTCTTATTTTGTTAGATTAGAGCCATCTTAAAATATTGCATTTTTACAGTATTAATTACATAAACTGCCATTTTTAATTGTAAAAGGATACGGTCATCTATTATGACATGAAGTAAATGTGGTAATGCATGATCACTACACTACTTGATAGGTATTGATTCCTGGTATGACTGACGAATAAATGAGTATTATATTGCCGCCCTCTTGCTTATGTTGCTTCTAAACTAGCACTGGGATGTCTCCTATTGGAACTATTGATTTCAGTTACCACAGCACTACAGCTTGTTTTGAACCATCCCTGGATTACATTGTGGTGAAAGTAAGTGCTCGGATACATGTATGCATACATTCATGTTATGTTTTAATGCTCTTTGGGTTAGTTAGCATTTATAGATAACAGTTGGGATCTCTGCAAGTTTACCCATGTTAGCATTGAGATTGGTAGCAGCATGAAGAGGAGAAGTCATGGCAGTTGAAGGAAGTGAGATTTAAATACATGTTTAAATTATTTTGTTTTTTTTTAAGATTTGAGGAGGCACTGCAGATAAGGATGGTCAATGATAGTCTTGCCTTGGGTTTGATCCTAAATTCCTACAACTTAGAAAAGAGGTAAATCTTTATTATTTTTATAATCAATGATTATTATTCTCAGGATCTCAATCATCGAACTGACAAGCATATTTTAGAGTAGCTGCTGCTTTGGACTCTGGTTGTTCCATTGATGAGTTGTACCAGTTAACATGTATTGAGAAATGGTTCCTTTGCAGAAAGAAGAATATCATTGACTATAATAAAATGCTAGGAAAACATGACCAATAGGTACATACTAATAAAGATAGCCACAAGGGCTAGGCAAATTATGCTTCAATTTCTTCCTGTTATGTTTTTAGGCACTGTCCCAAATTCCATCCTATTATGCTTTGAAATGAATCCAATTATGCTCATTATTATGCTCATACATGTGTGTAGTTTAAGCCATTTTATGATATTTGTTTGGATGCTAGGTTTTACTCAGGTAGGATCATAGGCGCCGGAACAGGGGGGGCAGAGGGGGCTAAAGCCCCCCCAGTCTTGAAACAGGAGGGGCTGAGCCCCCCCAGAAATTCTCTGCAACTGACTAACAAAGAAAATAAAACTGACTTTTATCAATAAAATTAGACCTGCAGTCATCATCTCTTCATTTTATTTAAAGAAAAAGACAAGAAAACTACTCTAAATCCAACAATAGAAGATTAGAACCATTTTTTGTAAAATTAGCAGCCATTTTGTATAAAACCACCACCCCATTTTAATAACTTAATTGATGTTCAGCCCCCCAAAATAAATTTT